TGACAGGGTTCCCTCAGGTACTGCTGTCTATCCCCAAGTCTGCCCCTGGATGGCACAGTGGCCTCATTCACTTAAAGTCTGTCATGTCATATGATATTGTTACATAAATCAATATTGATAAACATGTTTGTATTGTAGAGTGACTAATATTTACTGGGCTGTCATTTAGAGATAAGAAAAATGACTGGTGAAATAAGGTACAATATCTGAGATTTGTTTCAGAATAATTCAGGATTGGCCTTGAAGGGATGACTGTGGAAACTGAAGGAAGATGACTTACTGCACTCTTCTGTTTTGTGTATGGTCTCCATAACAAGACATTGCAAGCAGTGACAGCCTGGCTGGTACCATGGCTTAGCACGCTAAGCCTCCGCCTGTTATACTGGCATCCCATAAGGCACCAGGTCGAGTCCCAGTGGCTCCACTTCGAATCCAGCTTCTTTCTAACATCCCGGGAAAGCAGTGAAGGGTGGCTCAAGTTCTTGTGCCCCTAGACTCATGTAGATGATCCTGAAGAGGCTCCTGGCTCCCGGTTTAGGATCTGTTCAGCTCTGGCTGTTGCATTTGGGGAGTGAACCAGCAGATGGAGGATCTGTCTGTCTGTCTCTCCTCCTCTCTAACTCTGCCTTTCAAAAAAAAAAAAAGTCACTAGTAGCTAGTGGTTACCAGTCCATTCTGTGGTTGGGAACTCCAGAGCCGCTGCCCCTTGCATGGTCTGCTAGGGCCAGCTCATGCTGCTGACTTTGAGTGTCTGTGGCAACAATTGGGCTGTCTCTAGCTTCCTGCCTCCCCAGTGGCCTGCAGGGGGGTGGGAAGGGTGGTGGTGGTGGTGGAGCAGTGATGAGAGCCGAGGTGTGGGGGATTCCTTAGAACACCCAGCCATGAGAGGGGACTTGGCAGAACCCGGTTCAGAGCACAAGCATTGTACCATGTCTTTCTGCTCTTGGAGAAGTAGGTGGAGTCTTAAGTTTGGTCAACCATGGCAGAACCAGCTGGGGCTGTCACACCAGCCCACCCATAAGCCTCGTGGTGTTAGGAGAGAGAGGGAGGCCTGTTTTGCTTTCAGCTGCCAGCAGGCCAGTCTCCCACGGACCCTCTCCCTGGGGTATTTGTGATGTGAGCAAGCCGTGTCCCTGGTGTATTTTAGCTGCAGTCACAAGTGGGGTGGAAACTAGATCATCGCCAAGGTTTTTGCCAGTGTGGATTCTGCAAGCCTGGCAGTCTTGAGTTTGGAGTGAAAGCAGAAGGGGAGTAAAAAATCCTCTGTGGTGTGAGAGGAAAGAGCAGGACAGGTGATCTCCTTGTCGCACCCATTCCAGCCAGCCTGGGGTGGGCCTGGGAGGGCCAGGCTGGGACTAGCTGCAGCGCCCTGGTTGCGGTCCATATCTGGGTGAGATCCTGGAACAGGGTTTTCTGAAGCAGCATTTCTGTCCTGATTTGCACCATGTGTGCTGAGTGTCTCACTCTGGGCTCTAAGCTGCCATGTGCTCTGTGCTGTGGCCCCTGGGGAGGAAGGCTCAGCCACTCCCTGGCAGCGTGTGGTTGGGCACGAAACACATACCAGCTCAAGGCCAATGCTTCATCTCCACAAACAGTGCCAGGAGACACACCCTGGGAGGAATGTGACCTGAGAGGGAACACAGCAAAACAGAAGTGTGTTCCAGCTGCCCTGTGGGCCACCATTTGGGGTGCTGTCTGCAGTCGGTGCTTACCCCACATGTTCAAAGAACTGCGGGGCTGCCAGGATTAGAACTGGTGCCTGTATGGGATCCTGGCACATTCAAGGCAAGGACTTTAACCTCTATGCTATCACGCCAGACCCTGTGCCCTTGATTTTGAATCCTGGCAATTTGAAGATATGCTTGTGTACCCTCTGTGGAGCTGGCCCTATTGTGTCCCTGCCAGGCCCACGGAAGAACTACTCCATCAACATTCAGTGACTCCTGGATGGGCCAATGGGAGGCTGGGATGCCTGGGGTCTTGGCCTGGGAGCCTGCTGTTGGGAAGTCAGAACTGCTGGGCACTGGGCAGCGAGAGAGGGCAGACCCCAGCCCAGCTGCAAGGGTTCTGTGTTAAGGCAGAAATGGGACATGGTAAGACTTTTGATATGTGAATGCTGCTGAGGAGCAGAGTGGACTGTTCCAGGCAGAAATTGGGGAGAAGGAAGGGGAAGGTTGAGGTTGTTTTTTCAGGAGAGGGGAAACCAGGGTTGCATGGACGTGTTGTCTTGGGGAGAGGAGAGAGTTAGCAGCTGAGCAGTGGGAGTGAGTGAACTACCTGCCCTGTGGGGTCCTCCAGGGCAGGGGGGCAGCACTCAGAGCCAGCATGCAGATGGTGACATCTGGCAAGGCCAGGTCGCCGAAGCTCCCCCACTGCTCGTGGCTGGCAGGAGTGCCAGTACCTGGAGTGCTGGCTGAGGCTGGGCCACGGGTAGCCGCCCTGAGCTGAAAGGACCCTGTGTGTGTTATTTCCATCTTGGCAACGTGGCCACCAGGACTCAGAGAGGCAGCCTGGGCTGAGGGTCCACTCTGAGGGCTGCTTCTTGGTAGTGGGGAATAACAGCAGCGTGTGGCAGGGACTCAGGGGCTGTCTCCACGCAGGGCCCCCCAGCAGGGCACGGCAGAAGTGTATGGTGAACAACCTTCGCACAGATTAAAAGAAAAAAAAATGACCAAGACACACTTACCCTTTAACTGTGCTTCCCACAGACTCTGAACTGGCCTTATATAAACAGTAACCTGCCCAGCTCCCGGTTTCACCTCCCACAGCGACTTGTGCCTCCCCGTGTCTTGTTTATCCTTCCAGGGCTGGCTGGGGGGTGTATACATGAACTGTTGTTTGAGTTTCTTTTTCATTTGTTTAGTGTACACAAAGCACTGCCCCCAAATGACGATCACTTGGGGTGGCCCTGTGGCAGAGTGGGTGATGTTAAATTAAAAATGACCCCTCTATCTTTAGAAGTTTATATTTTCAGATACATATATGCCTGTGTGAAATAGTAACTGTTTATTTTTAAGCAAAACCAAAAAGTAACTCTTAAGGCCCATGTTGTAGTATAGTTAAGCCTGCCTGTCATGATGTCCCCTATATGCACTAATTGGAGTCCCTGCTGCTTCATTTCCAATTCAGCTGCCTGCCTGGGAAGGAAGGCGGCCCAAGTGCTTGGACCCCTGTAGCCACATGGAAACCTGGATAGAATTCTAGAATTCCCTGGCTCCTGGCTTCAGCCTGGCTCAGCATGGCTGTTGTAGCCATTGGCAGAGTGAGCCAGTGGATGGAAGAGCTCTCCTTCTGTCTCTCCTTTCTAATTCTGCCTTCCTAGGAAAGAAGTAAATCTTCAAAAATAAATAAACTCAAAGAGGGGAAAGTGGCTGCTTAAAAGAAACCATAGCAGATGCTTGCAATGGATGCTCTGTAGTTACTTTCAGAATTAACCAGTTCTATATGTAGAGATGTATAATGATCATGATTTTTTTTTTTTTAGGATTTATTGATTTATTTGAAAGGCAGAACCAGAGAGAGAGAGAGACAGACAGACAGACAGAGATCTTCTATCTGGTTGATTCACTTCCCAGATGGCTACAATGACTAGAACTGGGCCAGACTGAGGCCAAAGCACTGGGCCATCATGTGCTGCTTTTTTAGGCCATTGTCAGGGAGCTGGATCAGAAGTAGAGCGGCTGGGACCCAAACTGGAGCTAACACCACAGCCAGCTGCTTCACCCACTCTGCCACAACATTCAGCCCTATCATACAGAAATTCTGTATATTTGGGGTTTGGTGTTGTAGATCTTTGGCCTGGCTTGCATTTATTTGATGTGTTGGCACAGTGGTGTCTGGCGTTTTCCTCCCCCCCTACCTGGCTATGCATTAGACGTTCTGTCCACAGGGCCAAGAAGAATCTTGGCAGGTGGATCGAGAGTGTCCACCAGCACAATGCTTCTCAAAGTGGGTTCCTCAGATCCATGTGGCCACTGACATTTGTTCAGATTGCACCTTCTGGAAACCAGATGCTCAGAGACGTGTTTTAACAGCCCCTGCACTCTGAGAGCCCCTGTGGAAGGACAAGCAGCTTCCTCAGACCCAGCAGATGGAGGGTAGGGTTGACCACAAGGGTGTCATCACGTCCTCCCACTTGCTCTGCATGTGTCTGCAAGTTGTACAGCTGCTGCTTTAGCAAGAGCCTGCAGCTTACAGGGCTGACTTTGAGTGGCTGGTGTCACAATGGTGGGGCTGTGTCCAGAAGACTTGGTGAGAGCATGTGTCCTACGTGGTCCTCGTGGGCAGGAGCCTAGGTTCTGGGCCTCTTTTCTTCCCTGTTCACCTTCTCTGGGCGTTAATGACCACATTTACTAGAATGGGCTGGTGTTGGCTCATTTGCCAAGATCCCAGGTCTTGCCAGAGAAGCCTTCCCAAAGGCCCGTTTTGCCACTAGGAGCCACAATTTTGTGCCTTATCAGGTTCCCTTGCCTGTGGACCCACAAGTTGGAGAATGGAAAGTGTATAGGTCAGGTCCAGTGTGGGCGGCTGTGCACAGCTTGGACACTGGGAAGTAAGGCTTTCGGGCTTCCCCCTTGCCAGGTGGCTGGTGATAAGTATGCAGGAAGATAAATAAATGCAGACCTGGAGCCTGGACAGAGAGAGGCAGTGCGCTGTCCTGGGCTTCAGGTCGGAGAACAGGTGCACACACATGCATACACACACTGCACACCTCCCACCCTCCCACCCTCCCAACCCCAATCCACCCCCTCCCCAGCAGAGGTGGGAGTGAGGCTTGGCTGAGAGGTTTCACGGAGACCTGCAGGCTCGTGGGCACCAGTTCCTCCTGCAACCATGGGGAAGGGCTGGAACTTGCATGTCCAGTTTCCTCCAGCAGAGCCCAGCAGGTGCAGGGGGACCTGGGCTGCCATAGCCTGGGCCTGATACAGCCCCTCCTGCATTCCCAGTAGCTTGGCAAGGGTCCTGGCAGGGTCTAAATGAGTTTTCCTTTTTCCTTCCAGATCCAGCCATGAGCTACCCAGGTTACCCCCCGCCCCCTGGTGGATATCCACCAGCACCAGGTAAGAGGGGCTGTGGGCTGGGGTACCTGGACTGTGGAGTGTCCCCCTCCTCTCTGCTCAGTGGCCGGGAGTGAAGAGGATGTGAATTGCAATTTGCTCACTCCTCAGGCTCCTGCATGGTCTGGGGTTGGGGGTGCAGCACTGGGGGAGCTGCTGGGTGTGCCAGAGGGGCTGAGGAGCTTGTGGGACAGAGACTAGAAGAAGGCCCTGTCTGGGATTCTTGCTTTATTGACCAAGAGCAGTGGGTGGATGCAGACTCAGATGCCTTCACTCCTCTGAGATTCAATTTTCTCTGCACTGAGGATCTACCTCATGCTGAGCCGGCCTGATTTTGGATGTGATGGCCAGGCAACAGGCTCTTAGCGGTATGGCATCCCATCGAGTGTTGCTGGCTGGCGACAGTCCCTTGGCATGTCCCCGCCCTGTGCTTCCCAGAGCATGATTTAGCAGGTGCAGGATTCCCCACTCCTTGCAGGTGCTGAGGGGTCAGATGTCACTTGCTGCAACAACAGCTGGCAGAGTGAGGCTGTGCTGCCCAGGCAGGTGACCCAAAGCCAACCCCCACGGCTCTTCTTGTTAAACTCCGAAGTCCTGGACTCTAGCACCTCCTTGTCTTCCTGAAATGAGATGGGGTCCTGTTGAGACTGGGAGGATGTGTTAGGGCTCCTGGGACAATGGGTAGCCAAGGGCATTCCAGACTGGCTACCCTGAGGGTACCTATGCTGCCCCATGCCCCCAGGACAGGAGGGCATTCTGTGGGGGTCTGAGCACAAGTGGGGCCTGCAGGCTCTTTGTCTGCCATATCCCTCCTAGACAGTGAGCAGTTGAGGACCAGGCCCCAGACACTATGCCATGGTACATCAGAGCTTAGGTAGACTGGCCATCTTTTTCTGAATACTACTCCCTCCTCACGCCATTTTGCCAACCCTGGACAGAGGCCCTGTGCCCAATGCTTCTGCCAGCACAGTGTCATGGTAGGGGAGTGAGGGCAATTTAGGAAAGGACTTGCCCTAAGTATCCCACGGTTGTGTGATTGCATGCAAGGCTGCCATGGACAGGGATGCGTGGAGCTGGCCAGCAGCCCCATACTGTCTTGCTGGTGAGCTCTGTGCTAGTGGTTGTATGTGAATGCCTGCTGGGCCAAGCACAGCACAGTCCTCATTGCACATATGGTCACCCTATTTACCAGCTGAAGCCATGAGCCTGGAGTGGCCGAGAGCCCTGGCCTAGGCACATTTGGTTTATCAGGTTTAGCACCAGGTTTCTTACCACTTATGTGCCGTTATAGGTAATGGCTGATGTCTTCTGTGTTTGCCATGACCCAGCCTGTGTCCTGCCTCCTCCTCAGCCTACTTCTTGTCACAGCACACAGTCAAATGGATGACACCCCCAAAACCCCCACCTAAGCTCATTTCTGTATCACTCAGGAAGTCTCCGAGTTCGCTGGCCTACTGCTGCTTGGGCTCAGTCCATGTTCCCAAATGTCTTGTTGTTGTATCTGTCCTTCAGTTCTCTTATGGTGGGCTTGGGAGGACTGTGCCCACCCAGTACTCTGCAGAGCACCCTGGGAGTGTTGGCTTCCTTTTCCCCTGGTTCTGGGTGGAGTTCTTCCTTGCTGAGTTCTTGTCCTGTCCCTGTTTGGCTAAAGGCCTCGGTGTTGCTTGCAGGTGGCGGTGCCTGGGGAGGTGCTGCCTACCCTCCACCCACCATGCCCCCCATCGGGCTGGATAACGTGGCCAACTACGCAGGGCAGTTCAACCAGGACTACCTTTCAGGAATGGTGAGTCCAGCACTGCTGCCTGGGTGGCCCCGGGTGGTCCCGGCTGCCCAATGGGAGAGACCTGGCTGTCCGTGGCTTCAGTGGGATCTCTGTATGTCCACCTGTGGGCATGGGTTGTGCTTCAGCTATGTCTCAGAATGGGAGAGCTGTCATCAGGGGTACCACCCATGTATGTGCACATGTGTGTGCTTGCATGTATTGGCAACAATATCTGTATGTGTGCAGGGATGTAGGTCCAAAGACTCAGGCCAGCACAGGGCACCTTAAGTCTGAGTCTATGGTCTGTGTGCTTCCAGGCTGCCAACATGTCCGGGACATTTGGAGGAGCCAACGTGCCACCGAACCTGTACCCTGGCGCCCCTGGGGGTGCTTACCCTCCGGTGCCTCCAGGGGGCTTTGGTCAGCCCCCTCCCCCGCAGCCGGGGGTTCCACCCTATGGAATGTACCCACCTCCTGGAGGAAACCCACCCTCTGGGTCGCCCTCCTATCCACCATACCCAGGGGCCCCTGTGCCAGGCCAGCCCATGCCTCCCCCTGGACACCATCCCCCAGGACCCTATCCTGGGCAGCCGCCAATGACCTATCCTGGGCAGTCACCAGTGCCACCTCCAGGGCAGCAGCAGCCGACGCCAAGCTATCCGGGATACCCGGGGTCTGGGAATGTCACTCCTGCTGTGCCCCCAGTCCAGGTGAGTGCTGGTCAGGATCTGGACCCCGAAGTCTGGTCACGTGGTGGGGGGTGGGGAGGTGGGCAGTGGTAGGGTGCTAGCGGGGAGGTTCAGGCTTGCAGGGGCAGCTTCTTAGGCTCCCAGTGGCAGTTGCTTGCTGCCCTGGCTGCTCTCCCGTGTGCTCAGCAGGGAACAGTCAGATAGGCATCTCCTGTCACTCCCTTGTTACTGTTCCTGGAGCTCTGTGTTTGATAGAATTGCCCAGACTGCCACAGCCAAGGCCATGTTCCCAGTGGCTTCCAGTCTGCAGCTACCTCATTGTACTCTCCCACACAAACTGTTGGGGAAACGTTTGGCAGTTCCTCCTAGGGTGATCTTGGCTCATGTTGGAGAACCACTGCTGTCTGTAGAGCCTATGGTCAGGGTCACATGGCCAGCCCCGCCCAGCACTGGGCTGTGTTGTATGCTGAACGACTGCTATAAAGAGAGGGTCCTCTGCTCCTTCTACCCCACCCCCTGCACTGCCCTCTGACCCCTAAGCTTATCTCTGTGTTATCACTGGCTTGTGCTCACCATCTAGAGACATCAGCTGGGCATAGTTGTTTGGCCTGATGTACACTAGTTGGCTGAGGCGTGTCCAGGCAGGCAGGCAGGTCACAGTCTAGAGGACAGAGCCGGGGAGCTGGCTTTTGACCAAGAGGAAGTGGGGCTGCCCTGTGCAGTAGTGCAGGGTGGAAGCCCCAGGTTGTGGGCCCTCAGGGGTGCCCATGTGGACTGTGGTTGGGAACCCTGGAGGGCGCTAGGGGACCACATTATCAGCATGCAAACTCAGCTGTATGTGGGCCCATAACCCTGTGAGCCAGGCACAATTTCCGGCACCAGGACACCAGGCACCCTGACTCCAGGACAGACAATAGTCAAGTTAGGCAGACTGGATGCCGAGTGCTCTGTGTGGCCCCCACTTAAGCCTCTGTCCCAGAGTCTCAGGGTGCAGCATGTCTGGGTCAGGGTGAGGTGAACTACACACAGTTTTACCTGTCGCTGTCTGTGCCAGTAGTTTGGAAACCGAGGCACCATCATGGATGCACCTGGCTTCGATCCCCTGCGAGATGCTGAGGTCCTGCGGAAGGCCATGAAGGGCTTTGGTGAGAGACTCCGGCAGCTCAGGCCCCAGCCCTCCTGCCCAATTCCCCAGGCTGTCTGTGTGGGGAGCTGAGGGAAGCAATCTGTTTTTGCGGGGGTGGCAGAGCAGGTGCACAGAGGTGGGGTGTGGTGGGAATGCCCAGGACCATGCCAAGATCCCTGGGCTGTCAGAGCGTCCGTATGAGCTGTAACCCTGCCTTCCTCCTCCTGCTCTCCCCAGGGACTAACGAACAGGCCATCATCGACTGCCTGGGGAACCGCTCCAACAAGCAGCGGCAACAGATCCTCCTGTCGTTCAAGACTGCCTATGGCAAGGTGAGAAACGGCTGTTCCCTCCTGAGCCAGGTGCCACATCCTTGGCGCTGGCACAGGGGGCACCTCCAGCCCTGTCCATGCTCACCGCTGCCTTTCCTTGGGGCCGAGTCAGCTGGGCCTGTGGAATGAACCATGAGCTGTCTAAGGGTGCGGCGGCCTCCTGAGGCTGCACTGCAAGAGGTATCCTGGTGTCCTTAGGGTGCTGGGATTTGGGGACAGGCTCTGGTCAGCCCCCTCCTTGTGGCGACTGTGGACAGAGCTTTCGTGTCCTCCCCCATCTCTCCTCCTTGACGTGACCACCCAGGAGGTCTAATGGACATGAGAGCATGTTGAGGGTTGTCTTGTGAACTTTGGGTTTTAAGTCTCAGAAGCTGAAATCAGGGTGAACGTGGAACTGGTGAGTGTTCCAGCCCACCACGTCACAAAGCATAATGCCCTGTGGGCCACCTTGCTCACTGCGGGCTCTGGCTTGGCGGGGTTGGCCCGCGGCCTGAGCTTCAGGTGCTTCAGTCCCAGGCTCCCTGTGCGGCTCACCCGCGGAGTTGGGGTACCGTTCTTCCTTAGTCACCTTCGGTGGTTACTGCAACAGGCTTGTCTTTGTTCATTTCAATTCCTGACCAGGATCTGATCAAAGATCTGAAATCCGAGCTGTCAGGGAACTTTGAGAAGACCATCTTGGCCCTGATGAAGACCCCCATCCTGTTTGACGCTTATGAGATCAAGGAAGCCATCAAGGTGTGTGTGTTTATGTGTGTGTGTGTACACGCCTGCCCTCATCTGCGGAGCAGGCCTGGGTGGCCTGGTGCCGCCTCCTCTTGGCTGCTGTTGTCAGTGAAGCACCTGTGTCTCCTGGGTTTGCATACACCTGCTGGAGAAGGGGCAGCCTTGCCAGGAGGCAAATACCTTTCATCAGGGAATATCTAAGCCTCTCTCTGTTAAAAGGATGATGGTGGGGGAGGAGTTAGTGACAGGACATATGAAGAGGGGGAGGAGGCCACAGATGGTGTCTTCATTCATCCCGGCTCTAACTAGCAAATACCAGGAACATGCTTGTGGAGTGTTGGCCCGACCAAGGTGACAGCGCAGTTAGGAGGCTGGAGGGTCACCTGGTGCGGAGAGGGCCAGGACCAGGAACTCCAGGAACATGTCCCACCCTGCTGCCCAGGGCAGGACTCTGACTCTGCCCCCTTGAGCTCCTGCTCCCTGCTCCCACTTGCTGTTGGCTTTGCCTTCCTTGTCAGCTTCTAGAAGATTCCTGTCCATCTCTGTTTACCTGTCAGAAATCTCACCCCAAAGGAGAGAGACCAGCTGCCCTTGTCCAGATTGCAAATGGGGGCAGCTTCTGATTGGCTTAGCCTGGGCTCCCCGTCTGTCTGACTAGTCCAGGGGTTTTGACCACTTGGGGTGAGCCCTCTCTATCCTAGGCAGGGTTTGGCCTCTGTGTAGAAGTCCCATAGATGGTGGACAGCAGGTGGCTCGTGTGAGCAGAGTCAGTTCTTGGAAGGAGTCTGCTCCAAGGCCTGGAGGCACCCAGAAGGAGGAGGACCAGACAGTCCGATGCAGCAGCCTGTCCATAGGAAGGCTGTGCTGAGGTGTAGGGGCATGTCACATTTCCAGGGAGGGGTCAGGAGGCGGCTTCGGGGTCCCAGGGAGTAACCCCCAGGCCTCTGCCTAGCCCCTGCCTCACCCTGCCTCCTGCAGCTTTGGAAACAGTACTGGCTTGGGTAGGGTTGGCTGTTGCTAAGCAGCCATGTATCCTTGCGCCTCTGTGGAGGGGACAGGGGATGCTGTCAGGGTGTGTGCTGAGCACTGGGTAAGGGGCTTATGTGTCAGCCCTTTGTAAACTCCAGCCGCCTGCAGTTGGTGATGGTGAGACACCTGCCGATGTACGGAGTTCCTGGCCTGACTGTGCTGGGTGCTCCACCCACTCCTACTCATGCAGTTCTCCTGACTTGCCTGGGAGGGCAATAACAGCACCACGCCTGCTAGGTAGTGAGGGAACCCAGGGGCACAGAGAGGCTCAATTCTGTGCATGAGGTCACACAGCCGGAGTTCAAGTCCACGCAGGGCCAGCAGCAATCTTCCCTTCTGTCCTCTGTCCTCATTGTGGCTGCCTCCTTGCAGAAGTCTGCAGACACCCCGAGTGCTCACTCGTGGGCTGAACACAGAGAGAGACTGCAGTGCACATCTCTTCCTGGCTCTGTGACCTCAGACAAGTCACGACACTTCTCTGATTCCTGGCTTGGTGGGGGGAGGACCCCATGGTCTTGATCACTCAGGATGTCAGAGAGCAGTGTCTCAGCTGGGGGTCTCGCTTGATGGGGCACCTGCTGTATGTTGGGCAGGGGTGAGGGCGTGGTGCTGAGTGTGTGGTGTGCTTTGTTCTCGGCTCTCGTAGGGGGCTGGCACCGATGAAGCCTGCCTGATTGAGATCCTCGCTTCCCGCAGCAACGAGCACATCCAGGAACTGAACAAAGCCTACAAAGCAGGTTAGGCTGTCACTAGGGCTGCATTCCCCACCCCTGCCGGTCCCTCCGCCCTCTCCCAGGCCTTGCCTCCTGTTGACACAGGGCAGGTGACAGGTGAGGGAGGCCCTCTTGGGTGTGTGTTTGGGGTCAAGCTTGACCATGGGCAGGTCAGAATGAAGGTCGCGGGCATGGCTATTCCTGGAAGGTCATCTGCCTTCTCTAGCCTGGATCCCCTGCTGGCTGTGTGTGTCAAATAGCTTCCTGCTGCGGGGTGGAACTTGTGTGTCTCCCTTTCAGAATTCAAGAAGACCCTGGAGGAGGCCATTCGAAGCGACACATCGGGCCACTTCCAGAGGCTCCTCATCTCCCTCTCCCAGGTACCTCTCTGCCCCCTCTTCCTGTGCCCCCCACCCCATCAGCCGTGTGTGATGCACTGTGTGAGGAGGGGGCTTAGAAAGTCTTGCATATAAGGAAGCAAGAGTATAATGTCTGTGTGAGAGTGCTTCCCTGTGAGAGAGTGGGTGAGCGCTTCAGGGTCAGGTGGGAGAGAGCTGGGAGGTGGAACTGCCAGGCGAGGCCCCCTCTCGGGCGGAGAGACTGGCAGGCATCCCCACCCTTCACGTGCTACCAGCCCTGTCATCCACACAGACGACAGGCGAGCTGTCAGGAACATCAGTGGGGATACAGGACAAGAAGATGCTGGGTATTGGTGGAGAATGTCCAAGGGGAGCCCGAGAGAAGGGCAGCGGAGGTGGTTTTCTAGTGTTTGCTTTGGGCCTTTTGGGATGTGAGGGGCAGCGGTGGAGAGGCGAGGGGTGTGCCCTCTAAGGAGGGGCCCTGCCCAGCCTGCCTGCTTCCTTCCAGGGAAACCGGGACGAAAGCACGAACGTGGACATGTCCCTGGTGCAGCGAGATGTCCAGGTGAGTATGTGGCCGGGCCAAGCAACCCCCTGGGGTACCTACTTCACAAGGGAGGGGCGGATTCCAGGGGCTGTGAGTTTTAGCCATGCTCTACTGTTCAATGAACAGGTCACCCCAGTTCACACTCCAACTCCACAATACACACACACTGCCATGGAACCTATGAGGTGATCAGCATTGCTAAAGGGGACTTTGTGCTCTCCCTGCGTTTTGCTGTACATACCCTCAGGTTTGCAGGGCATTTGAGGCTTGGAGCCTGGAAGCCACTGTTCTATCACTTGTGTGGCCAGGGGATTCTGCCCACATCCCCCTCATATGACAGAAGGGAGGATGTGAAGATATCTTGGTTCCTTGCTAGAAAATCTGGCCTTTCCCATGAATGCCTTCAGACTGCTGCATTTGGGGCGAGCCACGGCCTCGCTGCTGGCTGGAGCTGCTGTACGTCCCATTCCCATCCTCCTCCTCCCGGTCCCTTGCTCCTGCTGCCCCCCACAGGGCAGCCACTGGGAACTGTCGGTGGTCTGATCCTCTCTGCTGTTAGAGCTGGACCTTGTTTTCTAGGTGAACAAGTTGAGGCTGAGCTGGAATCCAGAGCACCGTGGGGGTGGAGGCTGGCCGAGGCCCCAACTCTTGGCTCTGGGCTCCCCCAGCACCTACTGACTTCTGCAGGCTCTGCCTTACTCCACATCTGCCCAGCTTGTGACTTCTTTTTAAAAGATTTATTTGTTGTTATTTGAAAGGTGGAGTTTAAAAGAGAGGGAGAAATAGAGAAACATCTTTTATTCATTTTTTTCACTTCCCAAATGACTACAACGGCCAGGTATGGCTTCACCAGGGTTTCCCGTGCAGTGCAGGGACCCAAGCACTTGGGTCATTTCCTGCTGCTTTCCCAGGAGTGTTGGCAGGACACTGGATTGGAAGTGGAACAACCGGGACTCAAACTGGTGCCCATGGAGGATGTTAACGCCACAGATGGCAACTTAATCCTTGATGCCGCAGTGCCAGCCCCAGAGCTTGTGACATTCATCTTATTCCTGAATTTGGCTCTCTGGTCTCTGATTCTTGCACCTAGTGGAAATTTTATAGGCCATTTGCCAGGCTTCAGCTCTCGCACTCTGAGTGTCTGCCCCCGTTCATGGTATCAGTACCCTTAGTGGAGAGCTGCCACCTGAGACCCCGGAGGTACTTTGGGGTCATTGAGGTCAGAGGTTGCAAACTAAGCAAATATCTTGGACTTGGCTCTTCAGGAGCTTGACAGACAAGCACAACCCTGCCCCTTTGCAAACATCATGTGTGGGTCATAAACCATGGGGGAAGTAAGATTCATGTCAGAGCCACACCTGTGAGTGTCTCCTAGCAACTGTTGTGATGGTTGCTGCCTCACCTGCACCTTCTGTTAGAGCAGGAGAGTGCTGAGGGTTGGAAATTTCCATGTGGGTGTCTAGCCTCACTGGGGAGCAGACATGCTGGTCGCTGGGGACCTATTGTCCCCTTTCCTTGTCTGTGGCTGCGAAGTAGTCTCCCCTTAGCGTGGTTAACCACATACCACAGCCACCTCCGTTCATGCTAGGCCTCTTGTCCCCTGCTGTGAGGCTCTTTGTGAACAGCTGGTTGGGCTGTTTCTTACCTGCTCTGGGCCCCTAAGGCCTCAGTCATCCTGGTCCCAACTTCTCTCCCTTTTTCCTGTCCCCAACCCCAAGTTTTATGCCAATTCTGTAAGGGCACCACACGGCCCAGCACTGCCCCTTTGGGCTTCTTGGAGATCTGTAGAGCCTAGCACTGCCTGGCTTTCTGAGGTGACCTGGGCTTGGGAGCCAAGGGTGCTGACACCCCTGTTTACATGTGTGTCCTTCTCTCCATCCAGGACCTGTATGCTGCTGGAGAGAACCGCCTGGGAACAGATGAATCCAAGTTCAATGCCATTCTCTGCTCCCGGAGCCGGGCCCATCTGGTGGCGGGTAAGGGAGGCCCCTGGCCTTTCTGGGAGCTGTTAGATGAGGTCAGATCAAAGCTTACAGGAGCCTCCCTTCCCCCCCCTCCCCACCCCGGGGCGGTTCTTTTCTTGCCAAACTCTGGTGCTGCTTCATCAGCTCCCCCTGGTGGTGACTGCATGGATGCTGCCTGAGAGTTTGCTAAGGTGTGCGGGATGCCAGCTCTTCCTGCTGGGGGTGGAGGAGGGGGAAGACACAGAGCTGACCCCTGCTAAGGTGTGCGGGATGCCAGCTCTTCCTGCTGGGGGTGGAGGAGGGGGAAGACACAGAGCTGACCCCGGCTGGATCTTCCCACGCTGGAACGGAAGAGCTGGGTGAGCCCTTGGGGGCACCCACCCTGTGTGTGCTGCAGCACCACTCTCGAAATGAGCCCAGAGGTGATGGTGGGTGACTTTCATTCTCTGGTTCACTCAGCACATAAAATTGAACCCATGCCCAACGCAGTCGCTCTGATGAAGTGGGTGTGAAGAAGTCCTTTTCTCATGAAATAAACCTTGTTCAGGAATATAGACAACAATCTTGTGCTAAGTAGAAAAGCTGTGTCAGGCAGTAGAGAACGGTCAGGAAGCCATGACATGGGGTCTGGATGGTCCTTGGGACGGTCCTCATCCAGGTGAGATGAGACTGTAAAACCCTAAGCAGATACAGATGCAGAGGCCCCTGTGTGGGGGCTCCCAGGTGATCCAGAGAAATGGTGGTGGGCGTCCATGTGGCTGGAGTGGGCCGTAGGACAGGGGGAGGGCAGAGGTGGTAGAAACCATGGGGTGATGGGCCCCGAGGCGCAGCGGGAAGAGTAGTTGGGAGGCTGCCACTGCAGGGACCCAGGGTGAGGACTGTGGCTATCTGGATCAGGGTGGTAGGGAAGGGTGTGATGGGAAGGGTCAGACTCTGTCCCTGCTCATGCTAGAGTGAGAGGAGCTAGGGAGACACGTGGTCTTGTGGCTGGGCAAGTGGGAGGGCAGAGCAGGCTGCTGGGTGGCTGGAGGCGCCAGGTGGCTGAGTGTGTCAGGCTAGCAGTGAGGGAAGGTTAGGCCAAGCCTGCAGCTGTGTTGGAGGCCCTGGGACAAGAAGAGGTCTTGTTCTCCTGGAAAGTGTGCGGTGGATTGAGGCTAGCCCACCCAAGCATCTGGGCCATCTCCCGCTGGTTTTCCTAGCCCTTTAGCAGGGAGCTAGATGGGAAGTAGAGCAGCTAGTACACGAACCATTGTCCTGTGGGATTGCCGGCATGGCAGGTGTCAGCTTTACTTACTGTGCCACAATGCCAGCCCCAGATGTAACATCTTAACCACTATGCCAAATACCTGCCTCTAAGTGGGTTTTTGAAATGTGTTTTATTGACCTGCTGGAGTGGTGGGACGGGATGAAGTGGCGAGAAGGAGTTACATCTGCTTGCTCATTTTCCAGGAACTGAATCTAGCTCTCCCCTTTGAGTGGCAGGACCATAGCACCATCGCCACTGCCTCCGGGAGTGTGCGTTTGCTTGCACTCAGGCACTCTGACGTGGCTTGTGGGCATTCCTGCCAACTCCATAATTGCAGTGCATTGAAATGCAGACCCTCTGCCCAGAGCACACATTCTCACCTCCTCACTGTGCTGTGATGGAGCCAGTGAACAAGCTTTCATCTTCTCCATGGTTTGGATGAGAATTGGAATAGTGCAGGACCCCCATGTTGTCCCCCACATTCCGGAGGACCAAGGTGGCGTCCATGATGTGGCTCTGCCCGTGACCTGTGTCACAGGCCTGGGCAGGAAGGAGTGTGCGTCTGGGTGGGAGCAAGAGGTCCCATATCAGTGATGTCAGAGTCTGCCGTCTGGGGCTCCGTAGGTCTGCTGGGTGCAGGCAGGGTGGGTAGAAGGCAGCTCTGGGTGCTGGCTCTCAGGCAAGAAGCATGAGGCTGACCCGTGAAGCAGTGCGGGTGTTATAGCTAGCTGTGCTGGGGACCTGGGGAAGAACGGTGCCACTGGGCGTGGTAAGCCCCCTTCCCCAGGCAGGCAGCTACCCTGGGGTGTGGCTGTGCCTGCTGGGTGAGCTGGGGCCATGGGCCTGTGTGCAGGGCTTGTGACACAGAGTGTGGCCACCTTAAGAACTGCTCAGGAACTTCTCAGAACTGGTGAGCAGGGCAGATGGGGCCAGTGTGGTAGGGCTCCCACAGGGGCTTTCTCCTTGAAGTTGTGAGAGCTGGAAGGGAGCGCGAGCCTTGGTTCTTGATCTGTCCCTTTTTGTCCTCCTGCTAGTTTTCAACGAGTACCAGAGGATGACGGGCCGCGACATCGAGAATAGCATCTGCCGGGAGATGTCGGGAGACCTGGAGCGGGGCATGCTGGCCGTGGGTGAGGGCCTCCGGCGTGTCTCCCTGGGCAAGAGGGTGGTGCGGCAGAGGAACCCCTGGTGGCTGCGAGGCCTGCTGCTTGCCAGGTCTCTGGGGTTTCGAGGGGTGACCCGGGGTCCCTAGTGCAGCTCTGGAGAAATGGGGCGTGGGGTAAGCACTGCCGGTAGCACATCCAGCTGCCCTGCTCCCCAAGGAAAGTCACTCATACCCCACCAGGCTCTTTCTTAAAATAATGCAGCAGTTGGGGGATGTTTGCAGGAATACTTGGTCAGGGGGAGGGCTCTGGTGGCCGTGCCCCAGCGGAGCTCTGCTTCCCTGAGGCCCCTCCGCTCCCAGGCCCGTGCAGCCCCTCTGCGCTCTCTCTGCAGGGACATTGCCTGTCTTGTTGCTGTGCTTTGCTGGAGCCTCCTGAGGGCATCGAGGGCTGGGGAGTAGATGGAAAGTGGTCATTTACACGTCCCCTGTGTTAGGTCTCATAGCCCGAGGACTCTTGGGGGACGCTCCTTGTACTCAATCCCTCCCACCCGTGGGGGGCCTGGGTGTCTGCACACTGCTCCTCCCAACTCTGTCCCCTCCACACTCCCCCATGTCTGAGCACAGTGGACTCCGTGAGCTTGGGCAGGCTGTGTGTTTGTGTTTTGTAAAGCTGGGGCCAGGCCAGGCCGGGGGTGAGTCAGTGTGTGTGTGTGTGTGGGTGGGGAGTTGGTGAGCCTGGAGGAGATGGAGGAAGGCCTTTGCCGTGATGGATTTGAAGTTCTGTCTCCCAGGAGGGCCTCCGTTCTTGCAGTGAACTTCTCTCCCATCCTCCCTTCTCTCTGTCTCGCAGTGAAATGTCTCAAGAACACCCCAGCCTTCTTCGCGGAAAGGCTCAACAAGGCCATGAAGGTAGGTGAGGCCTTCCTGGGGCTGAATGCGGGGCGTGGGGAGGGTGGGGCCGGCCCACAGCTGAGCTGGGCACAGGGTGGGATTTGGGGGTGCTAGGCGGGGCCTGGGGCTGGGGACAGTGACCTGCCACTCACCCACACTCTCTTGATGACCTCTCCAGGGGGCAGGGACCAAGGACCGCACGCTGATCCGCATCATGGTGTCGCGGAGCGAGATTGACCTGCTGGACATCAGGGCCGAGTACAAGCGGATGTACGGCAAGTCGCTGTACCACGACATCACGGTATGTGCCCCTGCAGGCCGGGGCGGGGGGCGCTGCCTCTGCCACAGCTCTTCCTTTTACCCCCTCTTCTCAGAGAGCCCATGGGCTCCACTGCATGCCACGTGGCGGCCTGTTCATGGCGCCCACTGTGGTTCTCTGCCGCCAGCTCCCTAGTGGTCAGCTCCTGGGTACGGGGCAGGGCTTGGCCCTGCCGCTGGTGAGTCCCAGCTGCATCTGAGATAAGGACAGGAAAGTCCCAGGCCTCCTCCACTTGGGCCCAACGTTGGCAGTCCTGGCCACCCTGCCATTCTGTGACCTGCCAGCGAGAACACACATCCCCAAATGGTCCATGGAGCCCTACTGGATGGGCTTTCCTGAAGGGGATTACTTAGGGTTGGGTCCCGGCTCTTGAACCCACTGTGTGATTGCAAGCAGTTTCCTTAAACCTCTCTGAACAGCCGCTCCAGCGCTGGCCTGTCAGACACAGAGGGCCGCAGAACCTCCCCAGGAAGGTTGTGACCCTGGTGCACACAGGTGATGCGACCTGTCAGCACACAGCTACGGCACACACAGGTGCCGGGGGCAGGCCTGGCTCTCCAGCGCACCCGGATCCAGGCTTGCCTTGCTTCTATCCCCCCACCTAGGGAGACACCTCCGGCGATTACCGCAAGATCCTGCTCAAGATTTGCGGTGGCAATGACTGAGCCGCGTCCCCAGCGCCCCCTGCTGTTCACCCGCCGGCAGTGGCCATGCCAGCAAGAGGCCAGAAGATGTATCTCACGCAGTAGCCCCCAGCTAGGCATGCCGTCCACAGGCCCCCAGCCCTCTGTCCCTCCTGAGCCAGGAACCTTGCTGGAAGACCAGGCTCGCTCCAGCCCACCTGCCCACTCAACCTGTTGTTCTCTTTGCCCACTCGCGCAGACAATACCTGGGCTTGTGGCTGAGCCCCCATCCCCACCCCCTTCATTGCCTTCGTATGCTTTTTTTCCTCTTTTTGTTGGAGACTCCTTCCTTCTTGACACACTCACACAGCATCCGCTCACTCCGGACATGTTTCTGGTGAGGGTGGCATGGTGGGCGGAGCACCCTGGCTTCCCTGGGGAGGTGGGGAGGAGGAGGGAGGGGCGGTCAGGGTAAGCTTTGCATCTGGTGAGAATGTGTCATGAGCGTTGTTATTGCCAAACACACTCCTTTCTAAGGCCTGAGAGTCAGCTGTTCTATCCTTCCTGTAACCACAAGGGCTAGGCCAGTTCCCTGCCAGTGACGGGGCCTTCTTGTCATTTGGAATGTGCCTTAAACCTGAATGTCTCTAGCCATAAAAAAAAAAAAGAAGAAAGAAAGAAAACAACAACAAAAAATTGTTTCCACATTAAAGTTAGCTGTTTCTGGAATGTTCCAGAAATGTCTTCCTGGCGCCGGTTTGTTTTTCTTTGCTTCATGGCTCTGCCCCGTGGCTCGGGGCCTCCAGCCGTACTGACTGGTGAAAATTCACACACGACTTTAAGTAGCAAAGTACTGATTGTCAGTAACTGACTACAAAGGCTCCTGAAATGCCTGCTGGGAGGCCAGACACTAGAAAGGGGTGGGGGTCGGCATCAGGCATAGCCATGCCCCTGAGGGTGAGGTGGGCGGAATGTGGCCAGTGTGGTAGAAGGGGCTTGAGTAGAGAGAGGGAGGGTCTGACTCCTGGAGCGGAACTCTCAGCTAGGGGCTAATGAGGAGGGTGAGGACGCCCCAGAGGCATGTGACTAGAGGGAGCCCCTGGGTTTAAGGCTCTGGCACCCACCATAGTTGATGGTGTTGGGAAAAGCGGAGTCTAGGAGGGGGACAGAGTTTCTAGAACGCACCGCCCTCACCCAGCAAAGGATGCTGTCTCTAGGGTGGGCGAGCCCCAGGGTGTGGCTTGTCTTCAGGTAGACAGCTGCTGGTTGCTGCTGCCTGACCTCGGGGACCCCTAAGCAGTGAGAGGAGAGTCCCCGGAGGCCTGGAGGGTGCTGAGGTGGGTGGCAGGTCCCAGTCGCCACAGCAGCCCCTGAGCATCCCGCCCCAGCTCTCTCAGCCTCCCCGCTAACCTCCCAAGCATACCGGCCCTAGGGCAGGCTCTCACCCTTGGGTGCTGGATGGGACCCGTGGATAAGATGAAGTGCCTACCCCTGGTGGCCTCCTGAGCCAAGGCAGGGCCTCGACTCGGTGTGCTCTGATGGCGCTGTCATCTGCCCCTGCACACTCGGTCCTGTGTTTGGCAGATGGAGTTGCTTTACACAAAGTTCTTTGTAGGAACGTGAATCTTTTGCCAACATTTAAACATTGAGAAATCTCATATTTTAAAAAAAAATCTGGAATTCTGGTTTTTTTTCAAAAGAAACAAATTATGGCACCACCAGGCATTCCCACATGGCTGGGGCAAGTGGCACTGTTCTCTGGCTGCCACAGTCCCCAGCTCCTTGTGCCACACCACGCCCAGGCAGGCCTTGGCGATGGAGACGTCTGCATCCTTCAGGACTCCTGTGCTGACCTCGCTCCTGCTTCCCCTCCCTCTGGCCGCCTGGGGGCTCTGATCTATGCTAAGCATGGACAGAAGGACGGTGTGGGCAGCTTGCTGAGGTGGCACTAGCGGCAAAGGCCATTGCTGCTGTCCAGGGTTGTGTTTGCTATGCTCAGGACAGGAGGTGGCAGAGAGCCGCACGGGGGTCTTCGCTTGCCTCCTGGAGGGATAGGGGTCAGTCCCAGTCCCAGCTACACATGCAGTTCCATCATTAATATAGCTGTTCCACTTCCGATCCAGCTCCCTCCCTGCTAATGCTCCTGGGAAAGCAATGGAGGATGGTTCAAGTGCTTGGGCCCCTGCACCCAAGTGGGAGACCTGGAAGAAGCTCCCATGTTTGGACCGACCCAGCTCTGGCCATTGCATCTATCTAGGGAGTGAACCAGTGGTTGGAGGATCTGTCTTTTCTATCTCTCTGTAACTCTGCCTTTCAAATAAAAATAAGATAAACCTTTAAGAAAAGAATGAGGGTCTTCATAGTCTCATTTGTAAGGTTGCTTTCTGGAAGACCTGTTCAAACGACTTACTGTTATTTGGGCTCTGCAGGTTGAAGGTGACATCCCTGAAGGACATTTCAAGGCCAGGGTGTTAGCTCTGATGCCTGTGGGAGGGGACACCAGCCGGGGCCAACAGGAGACAACCTGGAAACCCTGGGGAGCAAATGCGGGGAATGAGGGCTTCACAGAGTTCCTGCAGATGTCCTGCGGCCCCCAAATGCCAGTGTGTTGGTAGAGGACTTGAGAAAACCCCCATTTGTCCACTGTGACCGACCTCCAGGCACTGCCCATGCAGGAAGCAGAAGCTAAGGCAGAGTTAGACACTGCCTGGCTTGGGCTGCGAGCATCACAGATTGTTTTTGTTCTGTGTGGAGCTCCCTAGCGGCCACGAAAGGAGCCAAGTGGACTTTAGCAGACTGTAGACTAAGAAGGTCGTTACAGAGTCTAAACTACAGCAGACATGAGCAGCCACAACACACTGAGGGCCACATTACACTGTTCATTAGAAATGCCCAGGAGGGGCTGGCAATCCATAAGGGCACTGGTCCAAGTCCCAGCTGCTCTGCTTCTGATCCAGTTCCCTGCTAATGTGCCTGGGAGGGTAGCAGAAGATAGCCCAGTGCTTGGGCCCTTTTACCCACGTGGGAGAGCCAGAAGAACCTCCTGGTTTCTGACTTTAGACCAGCTCATTGCAGCCATTTGCAGAGTGAATCAGCAGGTGGAAGATATCTGTCTCTCCTTCAAATAAATACATAATTTTAAAAAAAAAAAAAGAAAAGAAAACATGGGGCCTGGCACAATAGCCTAGTGGCTAAAGTCCTCGCCTTGCATGTGCCAGGATCCCATATGGACACTAGTTCATATCCTGGCAGCCCACTTCCCATCCTGCTCCCTGCTTGTGGCCTGGGAAAACAGTTGAGGATGGCCCAAAGCTTTGGGACCCTGCACCTGGAAGGTGCATCTGCATGGGAGACCTGGAAGAAGCTCCTGGCTTCTGGCCTCGGATTGGTGCAGCTCCAGCCATTGTGGCCACTTGCAGGTGGAAGATCTTCTGTCTCTCCTTCTCTCTGTAAATCTGATTTTCAATAAAAAGTAAGCCTTTTAAAAAGTTTAGAAACAGAGCAAACTAAATCTAAGCAATCAGAAGGCAAGAGATAATGAAGTTTATAGTACAGAGAACCAAAATAAAGGCTAGAAAAGCAGTAGACTTGCTGAAACAGTAAGTACTTTGGAAATGGCAGTGAACTTGGCAAACCTAGCTCATTCCAAAACCTACCTTATTCTGAGAGCAAAGCCAAAACCTCCAGGAGAAAAAGATAAAACAAAATTGCCAGTCAATAACATCCCTTGCAATTTGGTGCAAAAATTTTCAACCAAATGATAGACCAAGTCCAGGTGGGATTGCCCCCAGGTAGGCCAGGTTCACAAGACAGACAGCAGCCAGCTGACATTTCCCACAGCAACAAGATGACAAGAGGAGAAACCCCACACGATGTTCTCACTAGGTGCAGACAAAATCACTTGGAAAACCATGACACTCCTTTGTGAGTAAAAAAAAAAGTCAACATATTAAGAATAGAAGGAAAACTTTTAACCTGACAGCATTATGAAAAGCTGGCAGCTAACATTGCTGGTGGTGTAAACTGGAGCAGCTGGCATAGCAGATCAATGATTCTTCCAAGAGTTGAACAAGCAGTGGGGGCTGGCACTGTGGCATCACATGCTAAGCTGCCATCTATAATGGCTGTACCCTGTATGTGTGCCAGTACAAGTCCCAGTTAATTCACTTTTAATCCAACTCCCTGCTAAAACAAGGGCATGGGGAAACAGCAGGACATGGCCCAAGTGCTTGGGGACATAGGGAAGACCCAGAAGAAACTCCTGGCTCCTGGTTTCAGCATAGCCCAGCATGGTCATTTCAGGGGTGAAGCAGTGGATGGAAGATCTCTCTTTTCCCTCTCTTTCTCTGTAACTCTGCTTTTTAAACGAATAATCCTTTTAAAAGTAAAAAATGAAACAGTTGCCGTCTGAGTCAGCAGTCTACACAGAAAGCCAGCACGCAGATGTTTGCCGCAGCATTATTCATGATAGCCGAAAGCGTGAAGAACTCAAGTGTCCGTCAGCCAATGCAAGAGTGAACAGAATGTGGACCCACACAGCGGAACACTACTCACAGAAAGTGAGGAGGTGCTGATTCATGCTATAACACAGAAGAACCTTAAAAACATGCTTAGTGAGAAAGCGAGACATAGGGCGTGGCACTGCCATGTAGCAGGTTAAGCCTGTGGCACTGGTGTCCCACATGGGTGCTGGTTCCAATCCTGGCTGCTCTGTTTCCAATCCAGCTCTCGGATTATGGCTTAGGAAAGCAGCAGAGGATGGCTCAAGCCCTTGGGCTTCTGCACCTATATGGGAGACCTGAAAGAAGCTCCTGGCTTCAGATCGGCCCAGCTCTGGCCATCACACCCTTTTGGGTGTAATTCTATGTTTCTGCTTCTCTCTGTAACTCTGCCTTTCAAATAAAAATAATTAAAAAAAAAAACCCAGATGCAAGAAACCACATTCATGTATATTAAATGTCTGGAATAGCAGACAAATTCATGCTTTCTAAGGAGCTACTGGGAATGGGAGTGACAAGTGACCAACCATATCCCAGGGCAAACGTGTTCTGGAACAAGTGGTGAGGACTGTACAGCATTGCGAATGTACTGGAAGCCACTGAATGTATTTGTTTCAAGTGGATAAAAAATGTTGAATTTGACCTCAACAGCCATATTCTGGGCCTGAGTATGGCATCTCAGCACGATGCACAGAGGTGTGATTCCAGAGGGCCTGGTGGGCCCCAGGAGCCCCCTGTGCTGGCCAGCAGCCAGGAGATGCACAGTGAGCACTCCCAGGCCACTCTAGGGCCCGGAGCTGGGTGGCACCTCACCTGTGTGCAGCAGCCCCTGCCCCGTGTGTCAGGAGGATGGAAGCACGGATGGGCAGGGTCTCCCAGGCCTGAGCCCAGGGCATGGTGGTAGATGGGGGAGGCAGCTGTGGTTCTGGGGTGACCTGGGCAGCACACACTGGGGATGGAGTTGAGGGCAGGGACCAAAGGAGTAGCTGTTATTTCATGTGTAGCTGAAGAGGTAGGAGAATCTGGCTGCTTGGGGTCTGGGGCTGTCTGGCAGGTGCACGTCTTCTGCACTGGCTCCACCGGAGGTCTTTGGGCTTAGAAGAGATCTGAAAAGACATGTGCAGCCTTGGAGGAAGCAAGTCCTGAGGACCAGCTGCCTGCTTCCTTCTCCTTCTTGAACCCTGAGACACCCAGGATTGGCTGCTGAGGTCCCTACTTCCACAGCAGTGAGATGCCAATAGGGCTGGGACAGGAGGGGGCTCTCCAGTGCCAGAATCCACACCGGGTTTGTGCCCAAGTACGTCTGGGATGGGCAGGGTAGGGGGCAGCTCCCCTAGGAACCCTGACCTGGCACTAGGCTGTAGCAGCCCCGAAGGCAGGAGACACCTTCCACTCTCTTCCTGCCTCTCTGTGTCACCCCTGCAGAGGGAGTGCAGCCAACCCAGCCCCAGATGACCAGGTCCAGAGGCCACCCTCACAGCTCACCGTCTCCGGGAAAGTCGGGGGCCGGACTGAGGGGCCCCGGAGGCAGGTTCCAGGCCAGCTCTTCCAGCAGGCCCAGCAATTCTTTCACTTCCACCTCCAGATGTTCCACAGTCTTCTGCACGGTCTAGAATGGGAGGGGCAGGTAGAGGGCAGAGTCAATGACCAGAGCAGGGCCAAGTTTACTGGGTCTGATGGGATGCTAAGATGAGGGAGCCAGGTGCTGCGGGCCTGGGTCCCCATTCAGGTTCTGATTCCTGCTGCTGTTTCCCCAGATGACAGCACCCAGGGGCTCCAGGCTCTGACTTTACTCAGTTGTAAATAAAAATGCCTCTTTCTCCCTGAAGACTTGGCAGCTTGGGGCCCACATTCCCTTTGTTGCCCTGCCCTCTGGTGGCGCTTCTGTCAAATAGCAGGTTTTTAATTTTGAATTTTTTTTTTTTTTTTAATTCAGTATTAGCAGGCTTTTGTGCCAGGAGTTTGGTGAATCCCACCGAATGATGTTTCTGGAGCATTTGGTGTGCTGGCTAAGGCACTGCCCACATCCCATATTTGAGTGTTTGGGTTAGAATCCTGGTTCCGTTTTGGAGTGGAGCTTCCTGCACAGGTGATGGCTCAAGCACTGGGTTTCTGCCACCAAAAGAGGATACCAGATTGAATTCTGGGTTCTCAGCTTTGGTCTGGCCCAATCTGGGCTGTTATGAGCATCTGTGGAGTGAGTGGAAGTGGATGGATCCACACTTTGTTTTTGATGGAGCCCTCTGTCTCTCTCTGCCTTTAAAATATATAAAAATAAATTAAAATATTTTGGAGACTGGCATTGTGGCACAACAGGCTAAGCCTCTACGTGCAATGCCAACATCCCATATGGGTGCCAGTTAGAGCCTGGCTGCTCCACTTCTGATCTGGCTTCCCATTTATGTGCCTTGAAAAGCAGTGGAAGATAGCCCAAGTGTTTGGGGTCCGTGCACCCATGTGGGAGACCTGGAAGAGGCTTGAGGCTCCTGGCTTTGGCCTGACCAAGCCTTGGCCATTGCACACATTTGGAGAGTGTACCAGCAGATGGAGGAGTCTCTCTTCCTGTCTTATCTCCTCTCTTTGTAATTCTACCTTCCAAATAAATAAAATAAATAAATCTTTGAGAAAATTACTTTGAATATTTTGCCTTAAATGTAAAAATAAAGCATATAATTACCAAGCACATCAGTGGCATTAAACTATTATTCAAGTATTAAAGATTGAGTTTTTGATATCACATATTTTACAATCTGTTTTTCAAAATAAATGATCTCTTTGATATTTATTTACTTCCATTGGAAAAGCAAAATTACAGAGAAAAGGAGGGACAGATCTTCCATTTGCTGGTTCACTCCCGAAATGGCCACAACAGCTGGAGCTGGGCTGATCCGAAGCCGGGAGCTTCTGCTGGGTCTCCCACAAACGCTTAGCCATTCTCTGCTGCTTTGTCAGACCACAGGCAGGGAGCCTGATGGGAAGTGTAGCATCCAGGATGCAAGCCAGCACCCACATGGGATGCGGACACTGAGGTATCACACCGGCTCCTGAAAATCATGTGTTAACTCATGAACCACTATGGTCTGAGATGGAGGCTGCTGTCACTGATATACTGAGGACTAATAGACATTTCTATCCGCCATGTGGTAGAGCTGTCCGTGATTTCTATGATGACAAAGTCATGACATTGTTAGTGAACTAGGGTTTGCTGTCTTTGGTGAACAGGAATGCTCATGTTATGAATCCCAGCTGCAGAACACAACACATGGACTGAACTTCCAGCTTCCCATCCAGTAAGTGTTGGGAGACCTTTGACCAGGGAAGTTGGGGGCTGAGATGGCAGGCTAGCCCCCCAGCCAGATGCACCAAGTGGGCTCTGACCCCCAGTCACTACAAAGAAAGCTGCACCCCAGCACTCCACCAGCCAGCACATGACCCTGAGGGAGGCTACATTGTGACCCCAGCCCTGCCTGCCACCCTCCCCTTTACCATCACCCTTGTCACCTCCTCTAGGATGTTCAAACGACCCTGGAGAGCCACGTGTTGGTCACAGCCTGTGCTCCTGGCTGAGTCTCCTCCGGCTGGACTGAAGGGCTCTGCAGCTGGGGGAGACAAGACTTGTCACTCCTGTAGATCACTGGGCTTTAGTGAGTGGACGGTGGGGGCAGGGGGTGGCAATGCTCAGGTGCACAGGTGTGGGGGTCAGTGCCGTCCTGTCAGCTGACCCATCATTCACTCCTCTTTAGGGCAAGAGCATGAATACACTCGGGGGCACCTCCCTAAGGAGGTGATATTTTTTTTCTTAAAGATGGATTTATGTATTTATTTGAAAGGCAAAATTAGAAAGAGAAAGAGGGAGGGAGAGATCCTACTAGTTCATTCCCCAAATGGCCACAATGGCCAAAGCTGAGCCAGTCTGAAGCCAGGAGCCAGGAGCTTCCTTTGCGTCTCCTTTGCGGATACTAGGGCTCAAGCACTTGAGTCATTCTCCACTGTTTTCCCAGGGAAACATTAGCAGGGAGCTGGATGGGAAGTGCAGGAGCCGGGACTCAAACCAGCGCCCCTGTGAGATGCTCCTGTAGCATGCTGCAGCTTTACTAGATGAACCACGGCACCTTGAACCAGGTAGTTAAGGAGAAAGAAAGATTTGCCCCGCCTCTGGGGAGGCCTGGCTAGCAAGCCAGGCTGGGCCAGAGGCCTGAAGCACCCTGGCTTGCTAGCCAGGCCTCCCCAGAGGTGGGGCAAAGTCTGGGGTGGGTGGGCGATGAGCCTGGAAAGGGGCATTCTGGAGACACACCTTGAGGGAGGGTGTAAGCCCAAGGTCCTAGGAAGCCAGTGGTGATGTTTGCTTGGAATTTATCTTAACACAACAGTGGGCTGAAGTAGAGAGAGAGTAGATCAAAAGGCAGGAGGCTGCTGCAGTGGTCGGGGTGAGAAGGCGGGAGGAAGAAACAGATGCCGCAGCAGTGATGGATACGGAGGCAGGCCTATCAGAGCCCACGTCTGCTGGGTGTTGATCCAGTCACCCCGTCCCCAGCTTGCATGTAAGAAAATTGAGGCAAAGAGGAGAGAAATATCATGAACAAAATTACACTGTTGCAGGCTGGCACTGTGGCACAGCATATTGAGCCACCACCTGTGATGCCAAGTATCCTATATGGACACGGGTTCGAGTACTGCTGTCCCACTTCTGATCCAGCTCCCTGCCAATGTGCCTGGGGGCAATCATAGAAGATGGTCCAAGTGTGTGGGCCCCTTTATCCACGTGGGCAACCCAGAAAAAGCTCCTGTTTCCTGGCTAGTCCTATTGTTGTGGGGTGTAGCCAGTGGTAGCCAGCACCCATTGACTGGGCAAATGCAATGTGGCTGTGTCACCTACTCTCGGTCCTGAAGGTGGGTCCCCAGAGCAATGGAATGTTAATTCCATCCTCAGCCACTGCCCTCCCGCCCCGCCCACCACCACCTGGGTATTCGCTCCTGCCCACCTGTGACTCACCTATCAACCGAGAGAGGACAGTATTGCATTGTCGTGTAACCACTCCCCTCACAAGCCCCTTTAAAAGGCTCATGAAGCAGGGGCTCGCTCTTTCTGGTCAGGTGCTTCCACTGCTCTGGCAGGTAATCCCCTGAGCGTGGTCCCTGTGTACTGCTTAGATGGGAAAATGGATATAGTAACGTTATTTCTGATTTGTGTGCTATCAGGAGTTCCAGGGGAGATGAGGCCTAGCAGTGAATGTAGGCAGAGAAGCCAGGGAAAGGTGCATGTCTGCAGCTTTGTAAGTGTGTCCAGGTTATTCGCTGCATGTCTCTTAGGGTAACTTACATCGTTGGGGAAGCTGGGACGTAGGTCTTGAGCTTAATGGGTGGACATAAGGGTAATGACCGCGTTCCTCTTGGGGTTATGATTGGTTGGATTGCCATATGGACTATTTCTAGCATGCTCTTTTATCATCAAGCTTGGTTAATAAAGACTCCTTGATAAACCTTAGACATGTCTGGTGTGTTCTCACTCGCGCCCGTAACACTATCTGTTGTGACTATTTGGCCAGTAAACTAGCATCTGGCAGATCTCTCTGTAATCCTGCCTTTCAGATAAACCAATTGGGAGGGGACTGGGAAAACCAGTATGGCCTAAGGCAACAGGGAGGACAGGATAAGAAGGGGAACAGAGAACAGCAAAGTCCCAGGGTGGGTGTGGGGAGTGAGAAGCAAAAGGACAACGGATAACAACTCCAAGCTCTGGGAAACTTCTGACTTCTGGACAAATGTTGATTGTTGTCATTTGTTTTCTTATGGGAAGGTACAGGAGGAAGTCAGGAGAATGGAGGGGTTGCAGCAGAAATTGCCTGCGGGAGGAAGGGACAGGGGATCTACAACCGCACCCTCCTAGAGGTGCCTCTGCCCCAAAGAGCCGGGGGATCTGTGTGCGTGCTCCCACGCTAGGTCACCTGTTGAGAAGTCCTCCCGGTGAGGGGTGGGGGAGGGGGGAGCTAGGGGTGAAGTTTCCAGGAATTCTCCTAGTGAGTCAGCTAAACTATCCTGGAAATCAACAAGCGCTTTTTCATTTTGTTGTTGTTTTCTTAATAGGCAGCCTTTGGGACAAAGGGGAAGTGGAGGAGAGGCAGTGCCAGGCAGGATGAAGCAGATCTTCCCCAGCAGTGTCCTGCAGCCTGGGTGCAGACGCGGCTGGCTGGAGGGAGCTGGGAGATGGCAGGTGGTAGAGCCGGGGAACAGGCTGAGATTGGGCCAGCACCGAGCTCAAAGAGATGAGCTGTGGGGCTCAGCTTGCTTGAGGAAAGACGTGAGGACCATCAGATTGGGATAAACACAGGGCCAGGGCCTGGAGGGCCTGAGATCAGGGGAACGCCTGAAGGCTTCCATGCTCTGGGCAGGGATGCAGGCACCTGCAGTGATAACTGTTAACAAAAAGAAATACTACAATTTCTGGGATTTCTTTCAGATTAGTCCGGCTGGGATGGGGCTGAGGGAAGGGACTTGGGTGGATGTTAGGAACCCGCAAGATTGGCCAGAGGGCCCAGTGCAGTAGCTTAGTTGCTAAAGTCCTTGCCTTGTACACCCAGGATCCCATATGGGCACCGGTTCATATCCCAGCTGCTCTGCTTCCCTTCTAGCTCCCTGCTTGTGGCCTGGGTCAGCAGTAGAGGCCTGCTCAAGGCATTGGGACCCTGTACTCGTATGGGAGACCTAGAAGCCTCTTGTGGCTACTTGGCGAGTAAACCAGTAGATGGAAGATCTCTCTGCCTCTCCTTCACTCTGTAAATCTGACTTTCCAATAAAAATAAATAAATGAAAACAAAACAAAAAAAAGACTGGTCAAGCATTGCTCACTGCTGAAGCTGGGGGGCTAGGCACCGGGTTGGGGGGGGGATTTCTTCAACCACACCAGGGGCCTTCAGAAAATCTGTGGGAACCGGAACTAGCGGATAAGTTAATTTTTGTACATACCACACACATACAAAATTGAAATCCAGGCGCTTATATTGTCTGGAATGTCCAACTATAAAAGCTAGTTGTCTGATGGGATTGTTGGCCAAAAACCAGATGCAATCTGGGCTGAATCCACTCAAAAGGCTCAGACACGGACGGGGAGACGGGAGGGATTCCAGGCGGGTTCAGGTCTGGAGGTGGCCTGGATGGAAGGACTGCATCCTGGGTCCCTTCTGAACCTTGGGTGCTCAGCCTGGAGGGCAGAGGCTTGGGGGGGGGGGCAGGAAGAGCTGTTCTCACCCACAGGCTGGGCAGTTGGGGGCCAGTCTTGCTGTAAGTCGGTACAGATACACCTGTGGGCAGGCTGTGCCCAAGAGCCTTGGAGTTCTTTATTCCTGAGAGTCTCACCGCTTCTCCCAGACCCCATCTATCTGCCCGCTGACACCCTGTCCCCGCTCAGGCCTGAGGCTGGGGGAGGTGGAGTAGCCCTGCTGAGCAAAGGGGGATCTGCAGGCTGTACTGGAAGCTTCCAACAAAGCGAATCTGTTCCTCTCTGTTGGCCAAAAAATCCTGGTTCTCTGCGATGAGGTCTAACTTGGCCACCAAATCCCTCTGGGGAACAGGCAGAACCGAAGCCTTTTTCCACAGTGCACAGCGCTAATCCTTCACATCTGGACAGCCCGCGGCGCCCATGGTGCAACTGCCCACACGCTCAGCCAGGCCCCGGGGAGGTCATCTGAGAGAGAAGGCTCCAAACGGGGCTCCTGATGTCCACCATGCAACCGTAAGGCCCTCAGGCTGAACATGCACTATCAGCTTATAGCAACTGGTGGCTCACTCCGGGATGGGGAGACGCGTTGCCTCCTGCCCCCCAGCCCCGGCCCACCTCTTCCCTGACCTCTGTTGTCTCCCCTAAAACAACATGGGGTGGCCCTGAGGCACAGCCTCCCAGCTGCAGCTCCACTACCCTGAAGCCCCTGTCCCCCATCGTGCCCCCATGAAGCCCAGGGAGTGAAAGCAGAAGAGAGTGAAGACGTGGCCACTTGGGCCAGGAATCCCTGCAAAGTGAGGACTGGGGACCTTCCATGTCAATGCGCATGTGTGTACGCTCACACGCATATGCACGGCTGTCAAGAAGCTCAGATGACGGGAAGGTGAGGGATTCTTAGGACCAACGCTGCACAGCCAGGGGTGTGACTGTCCTTGTCTCCACCCTATCCCCACCCCCAGCCCCTCACCAGTGCTGGCAGCTGGGAAGTGGACCTCCTCAGCGCTGGCCGCCTCTGGCCTGGCTCCTGCTCAGCGTCTGATGCGCACCCTGGAGGGTGGCCACGGGCGGAGGAGCAGCAGCACTACGTGCTGCAGAGAGAGGACCCCGGGCCAGTGGAGAAGCGGCAGCCACTGGGTCCTGTCCTCCAAGGCCATGGCATGCGGCCCACTCCTATTCCCAGGCCTGGGGGGCAAGGAGGGAGAGTACCTGGAACCCGGACAAGAACACGTCTGCAATTTGTATGATTTCCGTGAGCTAGGGGTGGGGAAATACTTTGAGTGGCAGGTTCTGCAGATTGTGACGGCTAAGTCATGGTCTGCTCTGACTTGAGGCTTCCCTCCCACCAACCACATTGCATAGCATGGGAAACTAAAGCTCACCACATCTACTATCTGTACCCGTCTTTGTGAAGCATTCAAAACCAGCATTGGCTTTTTAAATGATCACCCCAAGAACACTCATACAGAAGGCTGCTCCGGCTGGCCGTCTATTGGAGTAACTATCAAACAGATAACAATGAAAAAGAATAAAGACTATAAAATAGTCTCACCAAAACACTGAGGGCTGGAGTTGTGGTGCACAGGGCTAAGCAGCTGCTTGCAAGGTGATCATCCCATAGCTGAGCCACTTTGGACAATGGCTGCTTCTTGCTAATACAATGGGAAGGAAGCCCAAGGGTGGCCCACGTCCTTCGGCTCCTCCCCACGTGGGAGACTGAAATCAGAGCTCCAGGTTGATGGCTTTACCTGGCCCAGCCCCAGCCATTGTAGCCATGTGGGAGAGTCAATCAGCCTATAGGACTGTTCCCAATTCCTGCCCCATTACTCTTCCTTTCAACTAACTAAATAAACAAATAAAAGCTGTAACAGGAACTAATTGAATCTTCTAGATGTAGCTATCACAAAGGGTGAGGGGAGGAGGGAATATTTAAACAAAACCATGGGGATGCAATTAGCAAAATCTAGATGTAGAGAAATTTCCAGGGTAAACTTACTTTCTTTAATAAACACATTTTAAGGGAAAAGGAAGGAGAGAGAACACGAGTATTTAAGGAGGCTTAACAGGTATACTAACCAAATGCAAATTTTATTTGGACCAAAAAAATGAACTGTTCAAGGCCCGGTAAATTGGCATAACTAGGTAATCCTCCATCTGCAAGCACCAACATCCTATATGGGTGCTGGTTCATGTCCCAGTGGCTCCACTTCCAATCCAGCTCCCTGCTTATGACCTAAGAAAGCAGTGGAGGATGCCACAAAGCCTTGAGATCCTGCGCCTGCTTGTCAGCCATATTGGTCATTTGGGGAGTGAACCAGCAGGTGGAAGATCTTTCTGTCCCTCTTTCTTTGCATAAATCTGCCTTTCCAAAAAAAAAAAAAAAATGCTAAGACATATAGCACCGATCAAAACACTTGAATAATGACTTCATATTTGTTGATATTCAGAAATTATTATCCATTTTTTTGGTGTGATTATGGTATTCCAGCTATGTTTTAACAAGAATACTGATCAGCTGAACATCCCTAATCTGGAAATCTGAAATCCTTCAAAATCTGAAAATGTTTTAAGTGTCAACAAGTGGAAAATGCCATGTCATGAAACTTAGTTTCATGCACAAAATTATTAAAGATAGAAAAATTGGGCCCATCACGATAACCTAAAAGCTAAAGTCCTCATCTTGAACATGCCAGGATCCCATATGGGCACCAGCTCTAATTCTGGCAGCTCCACTTCCCATACCAGCTCCCTGCTTGTGGCCTGGAAAAGCAGTCAAGGACAGCTCAAAGCCTTGGGATCCTGCTACCCGCGTGGGAGACCTGGAGGAAGTTCCTGGCTCCTGGCTTCAGATTGGCACAGCACTAGCCGTTGCGCTCACATGGGGAGTGAATCATCGGACAGAAGATCTTCTTCTTTGCCTCTCCCTTCATTTTATCTGACTTTGCAATAAAAAAAAAAATCTTAAAAAAAAAAAGATTAAAAAGATGGAAAAATCATTTGCAGGCTATGTGTATAAGGTGACCACCAAAAACATAAATGAGCTTTATATTGATACTTGCTTGGGTCCCATTTCCAAGTTGTCTCATTAAGTAAATGTAAACATTCCAACATCTGAAACTTAAACCAAAACATCTGGTCCTAGGCACTTAGGGAGGGCGTGTCCAACTTGCATAAGGGAATTCCAGCTTTCATATATTTTCATCTATAAATATACAAAGAAATATTTATGTTTTCAGATTTTGAAGTATTTCAGATTAGGGATGGTCATTCTGCTGACCGGATAAGATTGGCCGAGAATTGCACTTGTCGGAGCTGGTTTCGCAGGTATGTTGGGCTCTTCTGGTTTTTGCATTGCATTTTTTTAAATCAAGACTTTTTAAATGATTTTTAATTTCTTTTGGAAAGTCAGATATACAGAAGGAAGATCTTCCATTCGATGGTTCACTCTCCAAGTGACCGCAATGGCTGGAGTTGAGCCAATCCAAAGCCAGGAACCTGGAGCCTTTTCTAGGTCTCCCACATGGCGCAGGGTCTCCAGGTTTTAGGCCATCCTTTACTGTTCACCCAGTCTACAGGCAGGGAGCTGGATGGGAAGTGGGGCTACTGAGATTAGTTTGTGCCAGGCCCAAGACCTTTTTTTTTTTTTAGAAACAGAAGCTAAGAAAGAAAACAACGGTTATTGCCTTCAATTTGAAAACTTCATACAATAATATGGCAAGGGGCCCAGTGCTGTAGCCTAGAGGCTAAAGTCCTCACCTTGTATGCGTCCACAAGTAGAGATGGGTTTAGAGAGGTAAAGTGACCTAACCTGGACCTGGAGACTCTCCTGGAAGTGCCTACGCACACCGTTCGAGGGTCCTCAATGGGCCTGGTACAGGGTGGGCACACCATTCGGGGGTCCTCAATGGGCCTGGTGCAGGGTGGGTACACCGTTCGAGGGTCCTCAATGGGCCTGGTGCAGGGTGGGCACACCGTTCGAGGGTCCTCAATGGGCCTGGTGCAGGGTGGGCACACCGTTCGGGGGTCTTCAAAGGGCCTGGGCAGGGTGGGATCAGGTGGTTCCATTCAAGTGTAGGGCACAGCCAGGGAGCAGAAGGACAGGGTGCATGGGAAGGGGTATAAAAGGGTACCTTGTCAAGCTGCCTGGGCCTCCCTGCCACCACCCGTGCCCTGGCCAAGGCAGAGCAGGTCTTCGGGGAGCCCTCTGACAATCTGGAAACTGGGGGACAGAGCTGTGGTGCACTGGATTAAACCGCTATTTGTGATGACAACACTCCACATTGCAACACTGATTCAAGTCCTGGCTGTTCCACTTCCAAACACGTTCTCTGCTAATGTGACTGTGGAAGTAGGAGACGATATCCCAAGTGCGTGGGGCCCTGCACCCAAGTGCCAGACCTTGGTGGAGTCCCTGGCACCTAGCTTCATCCTGGCCCAGCTCTGGCTGTGGTAGGCAACTGGGCATCCCGGCCTCTTGGAGCTCAAATCCTGGTGTGGTGCCCTGGAAAGTCAGATTAGGCCCTGCGCAGGCGTGCCCCACCCTACAAACTGACCTTTCACCCCCCCATCCTGTTTTCTCCCATGCCCGCTAAGCCAACCACCCCCCCCCCCGCCTTTTTCCACTCTTGCTCAACTTTAAACACCAGTCTCCATCTCTCCAGTTCTCCTTCTCTTCCCTTCTTGCTCTTCTGCCTCTCCAACTCCTTTCCGTTCTCTGCACTTGTTCCTTTCTATCTGCGTTTCCCCCCAAACCCGTCTCAGCCTCTCCTTTTTTCTTTCTCCCTCTTCCCTCTCTGTTTCCCTGCCGGGTCCTCTCTCTCCCTTCCTTTCTTTCTTTCTCTCCCTCCCTCTCTTTCCCTCTCCTAACGTCTCTGTCATCACCCGCTCATCCGCACCTTGCCATCGATGGCTCTCCCCCGACCTCCCGGACCCTTGCCCGCACTTAGCACCCGGTGCCCTTACTCACCCGCTAAAGCTCCCGCAGCGCCGAGCAGGGCGAGCCCGGCCAGCGCCCAGAGCAGGGGCCGCATGGTGCCGGCGGGGTCCAGCGCTGCGCCGCGTCTGCCCGCCCCCGCCCTCCCCGGGATCGCGCTGGGCCAGCCCGGGAGGAAATGCTCGCAGTCCCAGCCAAGATTCCTGGGCGGCTCCGGGTTTTCTAGCGCTAGTGAACCCGCCTCCTCCTGAGGTCCTTCAGCACCCCGGGAGCAGTGCAGAGTCTAGAGACCCCGTGGACGGGCTACCCAACCCCGGGGAAGCAATTGCCCTCCAGGGCCACCTCGCGCTTCTGGAGCCTGAAATGTGGAACGTGAAAGGGTGGCAGGAAGGGGGTGAAGTTGGGGGGCGCGCTAGGTTGGGGATGAACAGCTGAGCAACAGCTCCCAGGGGCCGAGCAGGAGCAGTCAGAGACAGCTCATTTCAGACTGGCCTGGTAGCCATGGCACAACCTGACTTCCAGGAGGGAGGCGCAAGAAATGACCCTGAGGACGTCACACAGTGTCTGGCCCCCCGAGATGGTGTACGCCGACTTGAAGCGTGTCTTCTATAGCAACACGTTTCTTCAGGTGAAGAAGGAATGAAGGAATGAATCCTAAGACTTCACTACTGGTCCAAAGAACAGACGCAGAAATTGTTAGGAATCTTCACCATTAACCCAAGACGTCAGACGCAGCGACTCATGCAAGTCTTCATTACAGCGGGAGAAGCAGCCACCAGGAAGGGAGAGAAAATATGGCAGAGGAAGATGCCCCAAGGACAGAGGTCCCCTTGCCATAGAGACAGAAGGGAGCTCTAAGGGAGGAAAAGAGAGAGGAGGGAGAGGGGAGAAGGGGGAAGGCAGATGGGGGAGACAAAGAGGGCACGCACAAGTGCTAGCAAAAGGGGGAAAGCATCCACTTGGGACCGTGCCTTAATGGCATGGGGCATGTATCAGGGAACCACAAGGGGTTGGTGGATAGGGCTGTCAGGCTCAGTGCCACAAAGTCACAGTGGCTTGGTGGAGAACAGGGCTGCAAGGTTACAGTGGATTGGCGGACAACAAAACTTGAACCTAACGGCAGGAACCTTAAGGAAATCTAGGGGAAGAAGATTTTTAAAATGTGCTGAGTACAAAATGGCGGGGATTTTAATCATCTTTGGGGGCGGATGTTTAATATTGTTTTTGTTTATATGTATTTACTTTTAGTTGAAAGGCAGAGTCACACAGAGAGAAGGAGAGACAGAGAACTTTCATCTGATTGTTCACTGCCCCATTTGCCATAAGTAGAACTGATCCGATCTGAGGCCAGGAGCTTCTTCCAGGTCTTCCACATGAGTGCAGGGTCTCAAGGCTTTGGGTTGTCCTCGACTGCTTTCCCAGGCCACAAGCAGGGAGTTGATTTGGAAATAGAGCAGCTGAGACTCCAACCGGTGCACTAATGGGAAGCCAAAACTGTGTCCCCAAAAAGGCAGTATTCAATTTTTTATTTATTTGAAAAACAGAATTAGAGCTACCATCCTGTGATTTACTTCCTAAATGGCCCCAACAGCAGAACGTAGGCATGCTCTACCACGTTTCCCAGGTGCATAAGCAAGGAGCTGAATAGGCAGCTTTTCCAAGATGCCCAGTATTGACCTGAATGTGAAAATGGAGGCAAAACTGGTGTCTTCTACCCAGTGCAGGCAGGAAGCCACCTGACCCTGTAACAGGCAGGTGTGCTGGGGCTGGCATGGCAGCCTCCACCTGCAAGTGTCAGCATCCCACAGAAGAAGCTCCAACTGAACCATTATGCCAGCTACCCATATGCTAAGACCCACTTCCTGGGACTTTCAAGTTAACACCTACGTCAGTCCCCAGAAGAAGCTCTAGATGAGATGAACTTCTATTGCCTTCTGAGAAACCTTGAACTCTTCAAGCCTGTCACACCCTTTGAATCCTTAGGGCATTTATGATTTGGCAAAAAGTACAACAAAGAGAAAGCAGATAAGATCAGGTGGGGACTCTCCATTTTTCTACTGGACTGTTGGTGTTGCTGCAGGCCTGTTCTGGAGAAACTGAAAGTTAAGAAAGGGCCTGCCTGCCCAAGGTTAAGGAGTCAATAAACACAAAATGGGCCTTGAACTCAAGTCCTCCGCCTCCCTTGTGAAGGAAGGCTTTGAATAGTTAAGCAAACAGTATCCTCAAACAGTTTTCTTCCTTTTTTTTTTTTTTTAAAGACTTTTAAAATTTTCATTTGAAAATAATGGTTCAGTTGGCTTTTCCAGTCCCTATAAGTGCCAGCATCTCATATGGGTGCCAGTGTATGTTCTGGCTGCTCCACTTCTATCCAGATCCCTGTTTGTGGCCTGGGAAAACACTAGATAATGGCCCAAAGTCTTGAGAACCTGCACCTTGTGGGAGACCTGGAGGAGGCCTCTGATGCCTGGCTTTGGATCAGCTCAGATCCAGTTGTCATGGCTATTTGGGGAGTGAACCAGAGGATGGAAAATCTTTCTCTCTTTATTGCCTCTCTCTGTGGATCTGCCTTTCCAATGAATATAACTAAATCTTGGAGAAAAAAAGAAAGAAAGAAATGGAAACTGAGAGCTGTGAAATGCTTACTGCTACTGGGATGTCATGCCTGTGCAATGGGATTAACAATTCTGAAACTATGATATGGGTATTTAAGGGTTGAGAAAACAAGGAGATATGAAAAAAAAAAAAAGAGAGAGATAATGCTAGTTTTCTCATTGTTGAAAAAAGGAAATACAACAAGGAAAGGAAAGGGATAAAAAAAAAGGAACCCTGTTATGTTAGATTAGAATAAGACATCTATTCATGAATTCAAGGTCTTAATGAATTAATTTGAAAGGCACAGGTAAAGAGAAAGAAGAAGAGATACGGAGAGAGAAAGAGAGAGCCCCCATCACTGGTTCAACAGCTGGGCTGCAACAGCCGGGCTGAGCTTGTAGAGATACCAAATAAACTGCTCTTAGGGATAGATTTCCCAGAATCCATGAGGGAACCAGGCAGATTATAACTAACTCAGAGAGTCAGAACAGCAGGACTGTATAGGAAGCAAAGCAATGTTGAAATGAAGGCGCCAATGGAACCCACAGCAGCTTCTTCCAGGATGGGCCGAGAACCACCCCTGGGAAGGACAGAGTGAAGGAGTCTGCAGTCAAGACTGACTCTGACTTTCTATGGCTTTGGGTTTTAGAGTTGCAAAAGCGCTCCCTTGGCACCAGCCAACGGTGTGGAAAGATGTGCTACCGAGGATGCTTAGTCTTCCACCGGAAGAAGTAGGTCCTACAATTTCTCCTTCTTCAGGGCAAAATGAATCTTGTCTAAGAAGGCCCTGCTTGATGGTGCAGCAGGCTGACCTGCTACTCTGTGTTGCCAGCATCAGCATCAGAGCGCCAGTTCATGTCCTGGCTGTTGCAGTTCTGACCCAGCTCCCTGCTTAGGGCCTAGGAAATCAGCAGAGGATGATTCAAGGCCTTGGACCCCTGTATACATGTGGGAGAGCCAGAAGAGGTTCCAATTAGCCCAGCTCTGGTCAATGGGGCTACTGGGGAGAGAATCAGAGGATGGAAGACCCACCCCCTTACCTCTCTCTCTGTACAATCTGCCTTACAAATAAAACTAACTAAAAAACATCTTCTCTAATCTTGTGAAATTCATCAATAGCAACATATCAATGAAACCTGATCATTTCTGGTACCTTTCATGTTGCAGGGTGAAGTACAAAGCTTTCAGGAGTTTTAATGGGCTTTCTGGGAAGCTATCATTTAACTTTTACTTAATATTCGATGCTGATTCTAGGGACTCAATGATCCAAAAACGGACAGGGGATTAGAACACTTGCGCTTAGGATCATGGGTGCCTGTGAGAAGGGGTACTTGTCTACCTGTTTGAAAAGGGAAAGAAAGCAGGTAAAAATAAACCTAGAAAGTAATATGAATGTAAAGTAACATGGAGGAATGGAATTTCTGACTTATTTTTATTGGAATGTTGAATCCTCAAGTCACTACTCACTTGTTCTGAGGTGTGCAAGCTACTTCTTTCATCAGACCTGTTTGCTAGCTTACCTCCTAGGGGTTAGAGTGAAGATGAAATGAAAACGCAACTGAGGCACTCAGCACAATGCCCGGCACACAGTGAGCATTGCATTACTATTGGGTCTTATGTCATCTACCCAGAAACCATTCTATGGGGGGTCCTTGAAGATTCAAAGGACACAATGGGGTTGCACAAGAAATGTCTTTTCTGATTAAAGTATATTTCTTTAAAGATGTATTTATTTTTATTGCAAAGACAGAGAGGAGGAGGGACAAGAAAATCTTCCATCTGTCAGTTCACTCCCCAAATGACCACAATGGCCAGTGCTGTGCTGATCTGAAGTCATGAGCCAGGAACATGTTCCAGGTCTCCCAAGTGGGTGCAGGATGTCAAGGTTTTGGGCCATCCTGGACTGCTTTCCCAAGCCACAAGCAGGGAGCTGGATGGGAAGCAGGACTGCCGGATTAGAACTGGCATCCATATGGGATCCTGGCGTGTACAAGGCAAGGATTTCTTTTTTGCTTGGCCACTGTGCTGGGCCCTCTGGCCAAAGTGTATTTCACAGTACGTCTGATAGGATGCCAGGACACCACCAGTGACACACTGAAAACTGACATTTCATAATGTATTTATTTTCAGTTTCCTAGGAAATGCTCTGTAATGCCCAGAACCCAGCCTTCCAACTCTCTGGCTCTGCAGATTGTAAAGTTCCATAAATGGTTATAAATACTCCCTCCCCTTCTGTGTCCATGTGCAACATATTACTGCTGCAAGCAAGCCCCTGGGCCTGCAGAGGACTTCCAATATTTGTACATTGCTATGGATACTGCATGTGAAAGGCAGGCATCAATAACACGAACCGGATGTGGGGTTGGAGGCAGCTCACAATGACAGAACTTGTTTTGACTCTGAAATCATCATTCTTGGATGCCAGTTGTAGTTGGGAGGTGAGGCACGCTGCTGAGGGGCTGGCTTTGCATGTTGCATCCAACAAGGCTGGCAAGTGGCTTGGTAC